AAGCAAAACCGTGGATAAAGAGAGACTTTTCCACAATGATGCTGAACAACTGTATCACCATATGTGAAACAGAAAAAGAACCTTGATTCCTATCTTATATGAATCACTAAAATTAACTTTGAATGGATCATCAACCTAAACATAAGAACTAAAACTATAAATCTTCAGTGATGTCAGCAACATGGCAGAATGAGCTGTTCCCTTAGTCTCTCCCCTCTTTTGAACTACAACTAATGGACATTCATTGACCATGGAGGAAGCCCACACAGCACAACAGGATACCTGAGACACACACAGCTATACATCTGAGGGTGGATTGACTGGCCCTCTCAGGAGTGGTGAAGATATGAGAGCACTCCCTGCCCTCATGTGGCAGCCCTGTGCTTGTGCACGAACACTTTCCAGCCTTGCATGAGCACCCAGAAAGTGGGAACGCACCCCAGGGTGACTATAGGAAAATTTTGGGGCTTTAAAAAAACCTTTAAATCTCCTAAACAAATACATAGGAGAATATCTTCATGACTTTGGGATATGCAAATGTTTCCTAAAGAAACACAACATCCACTAAATATAAAATGAAAAAATAATAAATTGGACTTTATCAACATATAAAACATCTGCTCATCAAAATACATGGATTAAAAGGTGAAAAGACAAGTCAGAGACTGAAAGAAGGATTTGCAAAACCCATCCATCACTAATTACTTCTTTCCAGGATATATACAATTTTTCTACAAATCAATAAAGAAAGACAAAATTGGCAAAGTGTGTAAGCCATACTTGTTCTCAAGGTCTATAGTATATTATGGGCCTATACAAGTGTATACAGACACTACCTCATTTTTAAATATTTAATTAACTTTTCACTGAATAAAAGAGAGAAGCAACATTACATACTGGTTTAAGATCAATGTCATTGGAGTAAAGTCATCTGAGTTATAATCCTATTTCTACCATTTCTTCAAAAGGTAAAACAGATATAAGACTAATAATTTCAAGGACATTTCTTTCAGATAAAATGAAAGGTGCACAATAAATAGTAGTTAATAAGTATTCTATTTATGAATAATAATGAAAGGGTATTGAAATTGGCACAACATATATGTTTCATAACTTCTGCTAAATTATATGCTTTTATTGAACATTCATGTTCTCCCATATTTGTAAACAATTTTTGCTTTCGTTTGTCAATACAAGAAATAAAAGTTTTCATGATCATCCTGAGATCTCATAATTATCAATAATTACCCTTTATTAAGTGAATAATATATACTGGATACTTCGTAGACACATAAATTATCTTCAGACAATTTTATAGCAGGATAGGGAACACTTAGATGCATTGTTTTGCCAATCAATCAAAGGAGGATTTATCACAATGGAAGAGAGACTAATCAGAAGGCACAAAGGAAGCTTTGGTTTTCTATCAGGATGGAGTGGGGTAGGAAAGGAAATCATTGTGTTAGTAGTTGGACCCAGAAACTTTGTCTTTTAGTGTTATGTTACTGTGGATTATGCTGTGCTTAGAACCGCAGGTCACCATCAATGCTGATAATGATCACAGTGACCAGAGAATCAAGAAGAAAAATACCACAAAATGAGGTTTGACAATGTAAAAATAATAAAAATCCAGAGTAAAGTATGTGAAACCCTTCCTAGTCAAAGCCTAAAAAAATTACACACATTATTAAATGTGTTAGATTAACTTGTATAAATATTCATCATAATTGTAATTCCAAATTTTATGAAGGCTAAGCCTCAGAGTTGATCGTACATGTGGTGTGCCTCTAGGCTCATGTAACATGATTGACTATTCACAATATTTAACACCCTACACTCATGAGAATAAGACTAATTCAATTCTCTACATGGCAGGGGGTGAGAGCTGCCACTCAATTGACTGAAGTCAATTTTCGAACTTCAGTCAGAATCAAGTTTCAAAATAGGATTAAAGTTCAATTATTAAAAATGAAAAGAGTTATATCTGATTTAGCTCCTGCTGTCTTTCCTTTCCATGGACAATGTACTATTCTCCATAAATTTTACCCACTGGCAGGGGTTTTGAAAATGGAGAAGTCTACTTTACATTAGAAAATATTCTGCCTACCTTCTGATTTAAACTGCTAACAAAATGACTTACAGTATTCCACACTAGTCAGACTGGACTTCTTGCTACCTGTCCGAATGACACCTGAGCTTATCACATCTGGAAAATTGATGATTCCTACAATGCCCTGACATTATCTCTTTAAATCATTCATCTTGGGTACAGGGATTCCAGTATGCCTTGAAAATACACCTTCTTTAATCTTGAAACTAAAATTAAATTTTTTAGCAGTAAGTTAGTCCTAAACTAAGACTGAAGAATTTGCTTTCTGACAGTCACTTGTTTCTATATCAAACTCATATTTGAAAGGTTTTGAAAATAAGTCAAGAACTGATCACATATAGAATGAGAATTTTAATGGTTCCTTGAATTGCTCAAAAAGATGCATTAAAATTTTTTTGCAATAAACCTTATGAAGTTATAAAATTAGAGCAAATCACTTTATAATGGATAGACAAATCTTATATAACATTTTCAAATTTGGAATTACAATGAAGAACACATTTGCATACAGTTTTAGATTAGACCTTTTATTCCTAATTTTATAATATCTGAGATTGCAGTTGACATCATGGTTAATTATTCTTATTCACACTCTTTCACAATACTTAAAGTGCCTTAAAAATCAGGAATATGTTTTTTTCTAAAGGCTCACTAGTTTTAAAAGAGGACTTGTGTGTTCTACCCCTTATTTCTTTGCAGTCTTGATTTACATTTGCATTAGATGTAAGTTATTAAATAGCTTCTAGCATGATAGCTGTAACTTTGCAAAAGACATGAGTTCCAAAATTCTCAGTTTGGAGTGAAACTTAAGAGCACTGGAAATTTGACATAAAGGCTCATTTATGTAATAATCTCTGATTGATAAGGCATTGGAAATATAAAGTTTCTGAACTTTCATTATGACTCTTTGAAACATAATCTCATTTATGAATCCTTTTCACATGTCAGATAATATATATATTAATATGCACAGATCATCACAGTGGGCAAAAAGATTCTACAGGTTTTAGGTTCTGAAGGTTTTTGAATAAACCCATTAGAAAATATGTATAAGATAACTGGATAGGTAAATACATAGATAGATTATATGTATATACACATATGTTCTTTATAAATTTTTAAAATGTGATACTTCTTGTACATTTTTTGGCTAAGACTTAAAGTCACAAAATAATGATACCAAAAAATATTCCAATCAATTATAGTTACTAGATCTTCTGACATGGTCATCATCTAGTTTGCTCACAATAGCACCAGTTTATGCTCGTGCTGTATAAAACAGAATATTGCTAAGATATCAGTTCTCCTCAATTATTAAGTTACCTTTTGTCCTAGATTTTTTAACCAAGTACTCTCATTCACAGTTACATTAAAGTAAATTAGGATGAGGGCCAGCCCAGTGAAGTAGTGGTTAAGTTCACACACTCTACTTCAGGGGCCTGGGGTTTGCAGGTTCAGATTCCAGGTGCAGGCCAATACACCACACATCAATCCATGCTGTGGAGGTGGCCCACATACAAAACGAGGAAGACTGGCACAGATGTTAGCTCAGCAACAATCTTCCTCAAGCAAAAAGAGGAAGGTTGGCAACAGGTGTTTAGCTCAGGGACTATCTTCCTTACCAAAATATAAAAATAAATAAATAAACTGGGATGGGTTTGACAGATCTCCACTTTGTACTTTAAATTGTACCATGGTCTTTTCTAGAAGTATGACAGATACATAAGCAGTATATTATTTTAATGTAAGAACAAACTAGTGAGTTACCAGTGATAATCTATCCCTCTTTTCTCAGTCCTTTCCAGAAGGAAAGAATACAATATCTCTCATTTAAAGGCAGCTTGTAGATTTTGAAGATCCAAGCAGCTACAAATAGCTAACTTGTTCTTTTCTCACTTGGCAGCAGGAGAAGGATTTGATAATACTGCCCTGTGAGCAGAAAGATGCTTGACTGCAAGTAAGCTGGGTCAGTGGGAACCACAGGAAATGATGAGTGATGTCTATGTTTTATATGAGAGAAAAATTGAAGCCACACGGTCCTGTCATAGCGTTTATAAGGAGTTGTCTATATGTTTTTGCTGTAGAGGTTTGGTTGCTTATTCTGTGGTATAAATCAGGGGTTGGTAAGCCAAATATGAAATTCCATCTATTTTTGTAAATACTTCATATGTTGCCTATTTAATGAAGCCAATTTTTAGTCAATAAATAAATATTTCAAATATTATTCAATTGTAACTGCTTTGAACTACCTCTTTTGCTCAAAAATGCCATTGTTTGGAAGATAAATTATGTGACCTCTATACATAGACAGGATAGGATGCGATATTGTAAAACATCTTTCAACTCATAACCTATCTCAAGGTAATAAAAGACTTGAGGGAAAAAAAGACCTGAAAAGATATCCTTGAAGACAGTTGTCGGAGTTCTTACTGCCTGCATTGTGCCAACCCCTCTTCCTGTGCAGCAGTGGCTGCTGCTGTACTCAACCAAAATTTCAAATCTCCCTCAACTCAGTTAGCTGGAAGCACCTGCAAGAGACACTCCTGGAGATATTACCATTCTCTGCTATTTGGGAGACATACATCTTTTGTTTCACTCCCACAAAAGGAGTCTTTAGGTATCTAATTGTGGCTGCAGATGCCATGCCTAGAGACATTTTGAAGAGGAACAGATATACTGATGGTCAGATATATTTTCCAGAAAATGGGAAACTGCACAAGAGCTCAAAGATGAGATGGGAATGGTTTAAACACATTTTCGTGGTTTATACGTTTAATCAATAGTTAAGAAGCTATTGGGTTAAACAATGATTTTATTTCACATCTTTAAATTCATTTGAGAAGAAATAAAAATTTTTGGCTTTTCATGAAAGGGATTTGTCTGTAACGATGTGTTACTTAAAGAAATAAGTTACATATAATTTATGCAAATTATGTGCAAAATGTGCACTATTTCTAAAAATATTTTAGTACTAACAAATAAAAGACATTTTATCGTGGTGGAAAAGCTTGTCACTGGTGTCCAAACTCTTCTTATATTATGAAATATGTAGCAGAATAATCATTTAATTGTTAACCAAGTTTGTTTATTAAATTTATCCATAAAAAAGGTCAGAGTACAGAACTGCTAAAATTGTATTATTCAGTAATAAGTTAAACATTTCAATTTGAATTTGAAATAAGACAAAATTAAAATCACATGCATGTATACATACAAGTGCATTTTTTACCTGAAAATGGTTCATCACATTCACAAATGAAACTATTTGTGGTAATATTGCTGTAATTCCCATGGAAACAGACGTATGGTTGACATTGGTCAATTATTTCTGAACAATTTATGCCTATAAAAATGAAAGAAAATTATTTTTTCAAGTAGATTAAAGTATTTACATTGTTTATTAATAGTTAATTATGGTCACCAATTTTCCCCAAATTCTTTAATAAGGAATAATATAAAAATTTTGAGAAAATGTAATTCTAATTAAGAAATAGTGCTGCATAATGATCTATTTAAATAGAAACAAAAATTAATTTCAATAAATTTAACATCAGTTTCTCTGTCTTATGATCCCATAATATTAAAATATCTTTCTGATTACTGATATTTGAGTTTGGTTACTTTGCATGATAATTTGAATTTATAATCATGTTTTGACAATAGATAATATTAATACATGTAGATACCAGTTCTTCAACACACAGTGGTAGCATTGCAGTGGTAGTCTACAATACATTGAAATGTATATAGTGTCTTAGCCCTACTACCTGGCCAAGGCAACAATCCAAAAAGGAAAACACAAGGATGAACCAGGGCACAGTTTCAGTTAAGCAAGATGAATAAGCTGTAGAGGTCTGCCGTACAACATTGCACCTGACATCAGCAATAATATATTTTATACTTAAAATTTTGTTAAGAGGGCAGATCTCATATTAAGTGTTCTTTCCACAGTAAAATAAAATAAAAATCTAAAATTATGAGAGAAAAAAAAAAAGAAAAAGCTGCTTGGATTCTCAGAAGCTATGCACAAACTTCTAAGTTCTACATGTTCTTGCCCTTGCTGCTATATCACATTTTCCAAATCCCTCTTACACAAACTATCACGGTCCTACTATATCACATACCATAACTTTGCAGAGCATATTTTCCTATGCAGTTAATCACCTCAAAATATCCTCCATAGAAGAATGTGCCTAGAAAATTCCAGGGCATGGTAAGTGGGCACATTACTACAAAACATCTGTACATGACTTGGCAATAGGCCTGCCCTCCCACTCTAATTGAATTTTAATTTAATTTGTAAGCAGATTTTGCCAATATCATTGATGCCTTTCAAATTCCTTACAGACTGACATCCCTGTTCACTAACACAGAACACTTCTTCTTTCTTGTACCTCCAAACAACCCCCAACACAATGAAAATATGTCCATATAATTGTATGTTAAAATATTTCCATACTCAAAAACTAAATTAAGAGTAGAATGTGCCATAGGTTATGTCCTATTTCAATTTCAATAAGTGTAATGGGACAAATTGTGACTCCCAAAATTCATATGTTGAAATCCTAAACCTCAGGATCTCAGAGTGTGACCATATTTGTAGACAAGGTCTTTAGAGAGGTTGAATGAAGTCATTAGGCAAGGTGTTAATCAAATGTGACTGATGTCCTTATAAGAAGAGGAAGCTTGGACACACAAACACATACTGAGGGAAGATGATATGAAGACTCAGGAGGAAACGGTCATCTCTGGACCAAGGAGAGTGGCTTCAGAAGAAGCCAACCCTGCCAATACCTCCATCTCAAACTTTTAGACCTTAGAACTCTGAGGAAATAAATTTCTGTTGTTGAAGACACTCAAACTGTGGTACCTCTTTTGGCCGCACTAGCAAATGAATACAGTGAACATTCTCAATTTCTTCGGCAATTCTACATATTTCTGTATCTTCTGAGATTTAAAATTGAAGTAATTATAATTAAAGTGGCATAATGGTATATACTGTGTTTTAAAAAATAAATAAGTAATATTAGGTACTTTTATGGCATTTAAAATTTAAGGGTTTAAATTACCTATGGCTGTGTTTCTAATAAATAAGCAAACAAACATTGGGTAAGAAACAAACCACTCTACGCAGTTGGAGTAAAACCATTGAAATGATATTCCACAGTATACGATTACATATACACCAAGTAATATTCTGATAGATGGTGTAAATTTTCCACTCAAATATTCTTTAGAATTCTTTGGAGAAGTTAAAATGTATGCTTTAGGAGCTCTCAATTAAATGGGTTTTCATTCATCCCAAATCAGCAATTTGAGTGCTTTTCCTTTTTCACTGAGGTGCTAATTTTAGTCACCTGATATACTACTGGATGAGTGAGGTAACTCATCTTTTATCACTAATGCCAGTAAAATCAAATGAGAATTTGTTCCCAGTTATAGAGAGAGGATATTCGGTGGATTTTGCTGGGATTAACTTCTGAAGTAGTCTTGGTACCTCCTTACTATAGACTTTAAAATTACTCCTTAAAAGATTGGTTTAGGGGCTGGCTCAATGGCGTAGTAGTTAAGTTCGCATGTTTGCCTTCAGTGACCCGGGGTTCCCCGATTCCAATCCCGGGTGCGGACATGGCACCAGTTGTCAAGCCATGCTGTGACAGGTGTCCCACATATAAAACAGAGGAAGATGGACAGGAATGTTAGCTCAGGACTACGCTTCCTCAAAAAAAAAAAAAAAGAAAAGAAAAAAAAGATTGGCTTAGGTCAATTTTAGAGCCCGCAATGGCTTATTGAGTTATTCACTACATTTTACCAGAAAGCCTCCTCAAACTTGCCTCCAGTGGGGTCTTCCAAGGCACATGGAAGAAAAACCTTGGTGAATCCCCCAAGATTGCCCAGCAAAAGTTACATCCCTGAGCCTGATCTGCTCTAGTCATGTCTGCTGCTCACACTCCTTCCTCCTTCATGACCAAAATATGCTACCAACCTGTCATCTGTTTTCCTGTACTGTCATTGCAAACCACGTCAAGTACTTCCTTTGTTAGCTCATTGTTGCCTCGCCCATTACCTTGGAACTCTCCATGCTGGGTCTCTGGAACGCTTATTAAAAGAAAGCCTTTCATAAGTTCCCAAACTTTAAATATTCCTTGCATTTCTCAATGTTTCTCTTCACTTTCTGCTGATGACCCAAATTCCCTAGTAAACTTTCAAGTAGAGATAGCTTACTTTCCCTTAAATCCTCACTTTAGCCTCAGGTAATACAGTTTACATTGTTTCTAAATTGCCCTTCTTCTGGCTTCATCCACTCACCAAATATCTCCCTTTTACAACCTTTCCTTATCATTGCCTCTCATTTAGCTTATTACAACCAGTTATTCATTCTATCATGCTCTTTCCTTCCTTGTCACTCTTTGTCAATCATGTTATAGGTGCCACAACAACATCCAGTAAGAACACTGCTCTTGGCTTACAATGATCTTTTCCTCTCCAGCTTTCTCCAACAACTTCAAGCTTCCCCACAAGCGAATGCTTCCTTACCTTCCTCTCCTCAGATCCATATTTCATTTCCACATTATCACCCAGAACTGTTGAACCCAAATACCACATGCCTGTGAATTTCATTCAATGAATAATATTATCCTGATGATTTTACTTTTTAATATATGAGACATTAAGAGTGAAAATAGGTATTTCAGGATAAAATACATGTGTTTTTAAGAAACTCTCTTTAAATAAGCAGAAAAACTCTTTTAGAGAATGCCTGATAGGATTTTTATATGTCCGGGATCCAAATTTAGCCCTTTCTAAAAAATCTGTAAGACTTTTAAAAATGTAGCTTGTTTTTTGTTAAGTAACAGTTTAAAAATTCAGTTTATTTTTTCTATTTTAATAGAATTACATAATTCTTAAAAACAATCTTACCTGTAAATGGTGGGTGACAGATACATTCATATCCTTGCTTATTCCATTTTCCTCTTTTATTAATGCAACTGCCATTATTTTCACATGGTTTATGAGAACATGCATCAACTTCCTGGCAGTATTTTCCAGAAAATGGAGGCTGACAATGGCAGCTGTATACCTTGCTCCAAACTTCAGAAAGACATTTCCCATGCCCAGAGCAAAATTCTGAATGCAGAGGTTCCTGGCAGAACTGCTCTTTCACAGTCACATTTAGTCGAAGTCCCAGTTGACAAAGCGATGGACCATTTGCCATTACTGTGATAAAATAATGTGTCCCAACACTCAGCCACTGAGAATTCACAGTGTGCATTCCTTTCAGTTTGCAACCAAAAAGTAACTGATCTTCAGTTGTGGCATTTTGCATACAGTCAATGAACGATGCTTCAGAAACATTCATCAAATTTATTTCTGGAGACTGAAGAGATGGTTCAGAAGAAATTACAAGAATGTCTCCTAATTGAATTTGCAAAGGGCAAATCTGGGGAACAACTTGATTGCCTAAAGGGCTCATTTTAGTATTTACATCCCCAAACCAGCAATCTCCATAGAAGTCCGTGCAGATGTTTTCCGATAGTGTCCAATTCACCACATACGATGAGGGTTGTGTATGCCATTCCTCCACCAATTGCCACTTACATGTCATTTTTCCATTTATAACTGTGCTGTGAAGAACCACCAGGCTCAGAAGCATAACTGATTTGTTAGCCATTTTTGGCAATTGTATTTTACAGTCTATCATGAAAGTGTCATAAAGAATTGCTGCAAAATGGGCTTTCAGTATTGCTGGAGATTTCCAAGCAGTGATTTTGTTCAGACGGAACTGATTTTTTTCCTATTCCCAAAGTGCAAGTGGATTTGATGACAGTGGCTTGTGATCAAGAAACAGTAGAGTTCAACTGTTTAAATATTCCTTCAAACAGAAAAAAACACATTGTTAGTGAAGTTTTTCCTAAATTACTTAAGGATAGAGAAAATTCTTAGCTGTTTTCTGCAAGGATTGTGTCAGCAGCAGTTGGGCACCTTCTTTGTGAAACAAGGCCAGGAAAAATGTGGGGAAGAGATATTGCATCTCATCCTTCCCTCGATAATCACCTGCTTCTGAAAAGTTCTGGTGTCTTTACATAATTAAACCAGCACCTTACTGCAGCCTTTTGTATGTTTTCTTTATATCAAGCTTCAGCATAACTGAAACACACCCATACTCAAGATCCCTCTTTTACAGATGGTTTTAATTTTCTTCAAATATAAGTATGCCTTTCTGATTAGTTTTAGAAAAACACCTTGAAAGCATCATTCATAAAATAAGAATAAAAATGGCTTAAATATAATGTTTATGTAATATTTGCATGCAAACATAAGCCTTAATGTGCCTGCTGGTGACAGATCATGTTCCTCTAATCCAGGAGGTGGGAGCTCCCACATTTGTAAAAGACTCATAGAAAATTCTCTTGTACAAACAACTAAACTTAGAATGAGTCTTCACCCAGCTTCTACAGGAATGGTGGGAGGGTGGAGAGCAAAGAGGGAAAAGCAAGCTTAAGATGGTGTAATGAAAGGATGATAAATAGAAGTAGCATGTGGTGACTTTTTGTTTCATCACTCAGTACTGGTGTGAAAGGAGAGGTCAGGGGATCAATCCTGTTGGAAGGCACCATTACTCCCAGAGGGTAAGAAACTAAATAGGGATTTTGAGATTTAATATATTGACCCATTTAAAAAAATAGTAACTACCATTCATTGAGGGTTTTCTCTCTGTAAATACCTCTACTACCTGATTAACAAATAAACTGTAATCCTTACAACAAAATTCAAATTCTGAGAAGATAAATGGTACGATGGGAAAACATGCTCTTTGGATCTCGGTTATGTTATTTATTCATCCTGCATTCTTTGGCCACATGGGTTTTAATTCCCTCCCTCTCACATATGTAAGAATATAGTAAATATATTAATATAGAGAAATTAACATAGTAGTATTGAATTAACAATATAGTATCGAAGATTGAATTCGACTACGTAACCACATACAAATCATTCTATAAAAGGTAGTGTTTGTTTCACTCAGCAGGTAAGTGGAATATCTCGAGTTAAAATTCAGGTTTGTCAGATTCAAAATCCCAGCATTTCCTACTATACCTTGATTATCAATTAGATATTGTGAAAATAAATGGTTCTATGCTGTTATGTGATGTAATTAATTTAACTCATATCAAATATTTATGGTAAATCTAATTTCTTAATGGCTATTCTAGAGCATGTAGAAATTAAACTTGAGTTATAAATTACTTCTTTGAAAATTCAATTGTGGACATTATAACTCTATAAAAGATAATTCATATAAGTAATGTATTACCTTAATATGCAATGAGAAGGTAAAATTACAACTTTCTTAGACTCAAAAGTTATGTATGATCATTTTCATTTCAAATATGTTTATCATAATATAAAACACAGGATTTAAATTAACAATTTTGCTAAGGCTTAAAGGTGCTTTAAAGAAGCATATTTGATCCCAATCTATGTGCAGGGTAATATGCTAGGTACTGGGGATTCATCAATGACCAAGTGAAATAAGGTATCAGGTAAAGAACTAAGAGCTTAATGAAGGAGAGAGAATTATTAGGCAAGCAAGATCATCAAATCGCTATGAAAAGAATAGTCGAGAGCACTGTGAGATCAGGTAGCAGGGACATTTAAGAGGAGACAAGAATAAACTTGGACAATGAAATGGAATCATCTGGGAAAATTGCCAAGGGAGGCGTATTCCAGGAGAAAACCTCCATGTAAAGATTTTGAGATGAGTGTGTCACTAGATACCTTTGAAGAAGCAGGAGAAGCCAAGCTTCTAAACGCAGAGGGAAAAGAAATTATGATAAAATATAAGCTCTCGATTTACAGAGAGACTATATCAAGAAGGGGCAGGCATTGCCAGTAAAGTTGCTCACATTCTGTCTGAGGGCAATGGAGAGCCTGTGGAAGATTTTATATAGGAGATTAACAAGAGTGAATTTTACTTCAATGTCATCAGTTTAGTTGCAGGGTGAGGATGTATTGGTGGGTACAATTGGGGGAGCCGAGACATTTGTGGAGGAGTGAGTAGCACTAATCTGGTAAAACAATAGTAATGGCCGGATTCATACAGTGGCAGCAGAAATATAGCAACACTGGTGGAGCCCAGAAATACTTAAATTAGAATGACAACGTCTTCAAGCTGCTGACCTAAGGAGAAAGAAAAACCCAAGAGAAGCAGGTACAGAAACAAGATGGCAAGGGCGAGGGGGATGTCAGAATCACTTATGCAGACACTGAATTTGCAGTGCCCCGCAGCGATTTTCTTGTAGAAGTAGCTGGACATCAATAGTATAGACACATATGAGCACAGGAGAGAAAGCTGGGCTGGAATTCAAAATCTGATCATATCAATTACATATTTTTATATTTCAATATGTAAAGTTGTTGGAAGGATGTTTTAAAATGGGAAAGACTTGGGGCTGGGCTTGGTAGAATAGTGGTTAAGTTTGCATGCTCTGCTTCGGTGGCCGGGGTTTGCCAATTCAGATCCTGAGTGAAGACCTACACACTGCTTATCAAGCCATTCCGTGGCAGGCATCCCATGTATAAAGTAGAGGAAAATGGGCACAGATGTTAGCTCAGGGACAATCTTCCTCAACAAAAAGAGGAGGATTGGCGGCAGATGTTAGCTCAGGGCTAACCTTCTTCAAAATAAAATAAAATAAAATGGGAAAGACTTGATCTTGTTTAAATCATGAGCAAAGGACACAGAGGGAGATAATAAGGCAATATGGAAGAAGATACGGGGCAAGGATACAGCACAGAAGGGGAGGAAGGAGGGAAGATTGCTGTAGGCTATTGAGGTTGCAACTTTGGTGGCAGAGAGTTGAGGAATTTATCTTGTGGGATCTTCTATTTTCTCTATGAAATAGGAAGTGACTGACGGAGATAGTAGGTTTGGAAGAAAGAGTGGAATGGACAAGATGTGAAATAAACCATGAGGAAAATGTGAGAATATGTTAATTAGGAAAAAACAGGAGAATCACTAAGCAATACTGAAATACTTTTGTGGCTGTAAATCCCAAATTTACAGTAGTATCAACCTGCACAGATGCATTATTTTCCCAGTAGCCTAGTTGAAAAAGATACAATAAAAAATTAAGTAGTAAATGGGTTTAAACAAACACAGGCAGCAATTTCTTTCCATGTGTAAATGCTAGGAAACCAATTTCATTTGCATGGAAGCAGAAGGATGTCTGTGTGACATTTTTAGATTCGCTGCAGCTGTGAGCTCGCATTACTGCGGGGCTAATCCTGTGCTTCTCAGAATTCACTGGGCCCCTAATTATTGCACATTGATATTTTCTAAGAGAAAGTGACTTGATGCATTGCATTTATATCTGAGGAAAATTTCAATAAATGAAAATAGAAGCCAAAAAAAAAAAAACCCAGAAAAATCTCTATGAGGTCAATTTGCATCTATATATGCTGAATACAAAATACTTTGAGTTTTATTACAAAAGAGATTAATATAAACATAAAGTATGGATACATTTGAATAAGGAGAAGTAATTTGGACTCAAAAGTAAATATAATGGTATGTGACTCAGTTCATTTATAAAGACACCCTTCAAATCAAAGTAGCAAGTCAGATGACATTCTGCTCACTTCTAAGCACATACGTATGTTCACAGTATGTTTAAGAGTTGAAATTAGGAATCTTTTTCATCCCATGAGACATTGCCATCTTATAAATTTTTGAGTCAAGAAGTCTAGAAGTCTAGGGGCTATGATGGAGACATTCAAAGCATTGTACATAATTGTAACCATAACATCACTTGGCAGCGATGCTACCAGGATAATATTTCACAGGAAAACCTACTGAGAAATTTCAGATGATATGAGCTGTATCACTTTTATATTAGTTTTGTAGTTAGGTTATTCTAACAAATAAAGCCCAACCTATATTCCATAGTTAACAAAACATGGAGAACACTTCTCTTATTCACATATACAAATCGTCTTAAATGACCTCCTTTAAAAAATAAGAAAATAGATTCAAACAAATAAGTTTTATATGAACAAAGAATGATTTGAATACAATGCAGGAATAATACTGTTTGGATTATAACGGGAATTCAATAAAAGATAGCTGAGTTAGGCTGAAAGAAATTGTATGTGATTCATTTGCATGGTGCTCAATACATAATATCATGAACTGTGGAAGTTTTTAAGGAGTTTGTGGTTCATTCTGTATACTAGTGATCTTTTTCATTTTTCACCACATTGCAAAGTACGACCTCCACAACAACAGCTTTTTATTCTTATAAATTATATATTATACTTCATAGAACATATCCAAAATGAAAATTAGAAACGTAGGAGATAAAATGAACAGACACAAAAATCCTAATGATTTGTGCCTGACCACTAGAGAGTGCACAACACATTTTGGATACCACATATTGTATTGAAATTGTGGGAAGGGAATGAAAATGTACTTTAGAAATGTCAACATAGCTGCCAGAAGCAAGGAAGATGAAAATTCTAGCAGGGAGTCCAGAAAAGGGCAAAAATTGTAAATTTTAAAATTAGAGCTGAGACAGAAGTAATGAGGAAGAGACAGCCAATTTAGGAAGAAGAATATTCAAAACAGGGTTACTAATAGGACGTGAGATTAAACAAAGGGGTTCGGGTGAAAGCTGACAAACAGAATCCTGAAGAACATTAATGTTCGAGAGATGGGGAGAAAACAAATCTCAAAACAACTTTGCATTCTGTTAAGCAAAACAACAGAGGAAAAAGTTTCTAGAATTTTTGCAGAGCTGGTACTTATATAAATTATGAAGTGAATTTACTACATTTGATGATTACAATGCAGTTTAATTGATG